ACGTCCGTCAGGTTCGAGGAGCGGCCCCGCGAGCGCAGCGTGCTTAGTGCCCAGGCAGCCGGAAAGGGCGGGCGCACCGAAGAGGCACCACGAAGCTGCGGGCACTGCAGCTCGGGCGGATCCAGCGGCGGCTCCCTCCGGCACCGCCTCCGGGGCGACCCTGCAGGGAAAGCGTGTTCTCCCTGCACCCCGATGCTCCGGGAGAGCCCGCCTTCGCTGGCTAAGGGGCATTCAGGCCAGGACACCAGGGAGCAGCGCTAGGGTCGCACCTCAAGGGCCACCCATTCACTCCCCGCTTTCAAAGCTAAAATTGCAGAAAGGAGGCCCGGAGTGGCGCAGGGAGCGCGGCGTCACCCTGTCGATCCAACACTTGTCCTGGCCCCTGGCGCGAGCGCCAGCCCCTGCGGCTTCACCTGGCCCCCACCTGTCCCGGCGCTCCCTCCTGGCCCTGCCTGTGCGCCCCAGGGCGTGGCCCGGCCGGTTCTGGGGGCGATGGGGGGGCCTGCACCGCTCCTCCCGCTGCCTGCCCGGGCAGCACCCCAGGAAGGGGCACAGCTGAGGCCCCTGCCCTCTGTCGGGACTCCGGGCGCTTCCCGACAAGGGACGCAAAAGTGACCCAGTCCTCCCGTGCCCCTCACCCGAGGGTGTGGCCCTCCACCCGCCCCCCAAGCATGTAGGGGTCCCGGCCCCTGGGAGGCGTCAGCTGGGGCTCTTGCTCTTCCTGGCTTGGGAGACCCCGGGGAGGTAGGTCCTGGGCAATGGGTGCCCTGTCCTGCGCCGGCCCTGCGGGTGGGGCAGCTCCGGGAGGTTCCTCCTCCAAAGCCACAGGCCGGGGAGTCTGGGGTGCTGCGGCCTGGCCCTTCTCCTGGTGCTCTCCCGGGAGAGCGTCCCAGCGCCTGCCCAGGGGCATCACCAGGCAGCCCTGGGAGGGGCTGCTGTGCCCTGATCCCTGCTGGGCCTCATGGTGACCTGTTCTTGGGGGAACCCCAGATCTCAGGCCTGAGGGGCCCGGAGTCTCCCCACACACTTGCACCCCCTACCGCTGCAGGTGCCCAAGGCTATGTGGGGCCCTTGTGCTGTCCCTGGGCTTGTCCTTGCTGACATGTCACCGTGTGCTGTGGGCAAGGCACCGAGTCCTGGGTCCCAGGCTGCTGCTCGTGCACCCAGCGCAGTCACTGTGCTTCAGGGGCCTGCGATGGTCAGGCAGACGGTTGGCCTCCCGTGTCATCAGCACGCGCAGGCTTTTCCTGAGGGCTCCTGGCTTGTCGTGTCCCTGTCCTGCCCGCTCCTGCACAGGGGCCTTCCCCTTGGAGGCCATGCCCGCCCACTCCTGTGGCCGCGTCCCCGGTCCCACCAGCGAGGTGGAGGCTTGGAGCACCAGGGTCCTCTGGAGTAGCCCTGCCCTCGGCGGGCCGCTCTGCCTCTGGCTGGCCGTGTGCCTGTGGCAGGAGGATTTGATTGCTCCCCTCAGGCAGCGGTGTCAGGGTAGGTTAGGGTTAGGGTTAGGGTTAGGGTGTCCCGCTCTGGGACCCGGCCCAGCCTTGGCCTGCATCGCCGAGTGCCTCTTTGACCTTCGAGGTGTTGCACGGCAAAGCACAGATTGCGCACACACAGGAAGGACGGCGGGCCGGAGGCTCTGCCAGTTCCCCTAGCCTGCATCCCACGCTCTGCGACACTTGCCTGAATCTGGGCCAGCACCCGAGGGTTCTGGGTGGCCCTCAGAACAGGGCCCAGCCCTGGCTTGTCCCCACGGCAGCCTAGGCAGCATCGGGTACTGCCCTGAAGCGTGGGGCAGCCTGGCTGGCAGGGGTGGGGGCTGTGTCTCTGCACAGTGGACAAGCTGCTCTCAGCAGTGTGCCGGCAGGTAGCTGGGCCTGGGCTGTGGCAGGGGGCAATCTGGGGTGGGCGTGCCCACAGAGGACCCAGTGGATGGCAGAAGGAGTGCCCCACTGTGCCCGGAGGAGCACATTTGTATCTCCTTCCTGTAGGTGGCCCCACTGCTGGCCGGGACTGGAGATCGTTTCCTAGTGAAGATCTTCAAGGTGGCATACGGCTGCTGCGGGTGCAGGTGTGGGGACGCTCAGCTCCGGGTGCTGGGCCGTGCCAGGGTCCTTCCAGGCTGGGCCATTGGCACCCTTCCAGGCTGCCCCACCACACCTCTCGGACCACAGGACCGCAGGAGCACAGGCCGCTGGGGCTTCCCTGTAGCCCCATGAGGGCATAGCCCAGCACCTGTGTGTCTGGACCCAAGAGCCCTGGGATCCCGCATGCCCGTGCAGGCCGGGCAGGGTCTGTGCCCTGGGGTCACTGCTCCCAGTCCTTTCTGCCTCTCTCGCTGAGTGTGCCCAGCCTGCGTCCAGCGAGGGAGGAAACGCAAGGAGGGCCTGCTTTGCCCTGCCTCAACAGTGTCCAGGTGACTTGCTCCACATGTGGCACAGGCCGGCCTGCCCCGCCTGCCCACCCTGACTGCAGCAACCATCTCCATACTCACCGGCTCCATCAGGCTTCCCCCAGGGGTAGGCCGGGCCCCTGCTGCACACTCCCGGCCCTCCCCAGCAGTGCAGTCAGTGGGGGGGGGGGGCTGGTCAGTGTTCTACCCCGAGGGTAAGTGAGGGTGGCAGCCTGTGTCCTGGGAATTCTGGTGGAGCCCAGGTCTGCCTGTGCCAGGCTCCCCGCTGGTGCCCGAGGGACCGTGGTCCCCATTCCCAAGGCAGTTGCAGTTCTGGGGCTGCCTCCCTGTGGGGTGCATGGGACCTCTGGCTTAGGAGCTTAATGCTCCCCTCTCCTCCCTGGGTCATCGAGCACCCAGAGGCCAGGAGGAAGGGGCTGCGGGTAGCGGGAGGTTGGGGTATGCACAGACCAGCGGCAGGTGTCATGAAAGACGAAAGCGTGCCTGGGCACTACCGCTTGCTCTGCCCTGGACTCAGGCCAGGTTTTTTTAGGGAGGTGGGGTGGGGTGGGGGAGGGCACTCCCACTTTGGGGACCTGGGGGCAGGGAGTAGGTCTGACCACCCTGTCCTCTCCCTGCCCTTAGTGGGTGAGATGCAGCCAAACCTCGCAAGTCCTGGGTGCAGGTCTGCCCTCGGGTTTGGCACCTGTTGATGCTCCAAGGGCTGGGGGACTGAGCCCCCACCCTGGCCACTCTGGGCTCCGTGGCCAGCATGAGCCTGGCCGAGGCGACACAGCCCAAACCTGCCCTGCCTCCTCCGCCAGCCTTGTGGATCCTCCTGGGCTGCCCTCCGTGGGGCTGACAGCCCTCGCAGGGGGGTGGGTGGGGCGGGGATCCCCCTTTAGTGCAGCTCTTTCTGCAGGGTCCCACCCGCCGGTCCTGCAGGCACCTGGCCAGTGCAGTGCCCAGCCTCCCAGCCCATGCCCTGGTGGCTTGGCGTTTCTTCTGCCAAAGTTCCCCGGGGCTGCCTCAGCTCCGCTCCTCCCACTGTCCCCTGGCCACTTCAGCATCTCCTGCCCTCATTGCCCCTTGGGGTCTCGGGGTGGCTGGATGTTATGGAGAGGGAGACGGGAGCACCCACTTCCCCAGGCTCAGCTCTGAGACCCCTCCACCAGGAGGGGTCATGGGAGGGTCCTGCCAGGGAAGGCGTGGGACAAAAGTCCTCTTTGGTGGCACTGGCAGAAGGAGCGGACAGGAGACACTGGGCGCGTGCTGCACCCCCAGGTGCATGATAGCAGGAGAGGAAAAGGCAATAGCTCGGTAGCCCTTCAGATCTGGCTCTGCTGCCCCCACCCCGTCTCCAGCTGGGAAGCCTCTGGAGGCTTCTGGAATGTGCCGTCCCCTGCAGCAGCAGAACAGTAGCTGGGTACGTGGTGCGGTGGCAGGCTGGATCCAGCGCTGTGTCCTGCCTGCCCGTCCCCAGGAGGTCTTCCTGGGACAGGCCACCCCAAGGCTGAGGCAGCAGCTCAGCCCTGGGTGCGAGGCATGTGAGGGCCCCCATGGTGTGTGCGGCTCTTTCCTCACCAGACAGGGACTCTCAGGTGAGGCAGGCAGCCCTCAGAGACTAGGGATTGACCCACGTGTCCATTGCTCAGTCCTCTGTCCTCTGCACTATGTCCCTGACCCCCAAGGCTGCAGGGGCATGGCCAGTGGGTGAGGGGGCAGGGCAGCTGATGGAGGAGCTGGCCCGAGGGCTGCCCTTGTCCCTGGCTCTCGCCTGCAGGAAGCAGGCATTCGATGTCTGGAGCAGGAGCTGGCCTACACCAACCGATGCGGAGCCCATGGCTGCAGCAGAGGTGGACTGCTGAGCACGGGGCTCAGCCCCAGTACCAGAATGGAAAGAGGAAGAGGTATCAAGGTCTGCCTGGGAAGAGGGAGAGGGAGGGAGGGCAAGACCCATCTGGGCAAGGGGGGCATGGAGCTGTGGCAAGACGTGCCTGGGGAAGGAAGCTGTGAGGGAGGGCAAGGCCTGCCTGGGGAGGGAGAGCAAGACCCAGGAGACACCCAGGTCTCCCAAGCTCCAAGCTCCCCAAGAATGGGCCATGGGGCGGGGCACGGGCTTGAGCCCATCCCCTCTTTGCCTTTGTTCACAGAGGGGCCCTGAGCCCTACAACCCAGCGTTTGTGGCAGGGGCTCCAGGACTGACCACACAGGTCAGGTCTGGCCAAGGACCCCAGCTTGGCCTGCTGTGCTCTGAAGGACTGCTTAGAGGGCCCCAAGTCTGCACCCCCAGCAGGGAGCCTTCCTGACTGCGCCCTTTCCTGACTCCCCCAGTCTGGGCCTCCTGCCACCTACCCTCTGCCTGGGCCTCTTCCTGGGAGCACTCCAAGCCCTCTCTGCATGGGTCCGAGTCAGTGGTGGAGAGGAGGCACTTGCAGGTGGGGTGTGCTGCTGCAGGAGGTCCTGGGCACCAGCAGCAGGGCCACGCAGAGACTCAGTAGCCTGTGCCAGGCTCACAATTCAGGCTGCTGGTGCCCTTGTGCCTTACTGGGCTCGCCCTGGACCCTTCTGCCCAGCCCCTGGCCCAAGAAAGCCACAGCCACCCACAGGAGAATGGAAGCAAAACTTTATTCCTCTTGGCTGGAGAAGAAAACTAGTGGGTGGTCAAGGACAGGACCCCTACTTCTTCCCCTCCCAGAACCAAAGAAGACAAGCAGCGCCACCGACCGGCTCCCTCTGCACAAGTGAAGCCAAGAGGCCAGCCATGAGAGGCAGGTGAGCGCAGCACGGGGCAGGGGCGACTGCAGTGATGGGTTGGGGTGGCCAGGTCAGGCCAGAGGGCAGAGGAGAGCAGGCGTGGGGGGCACTTCTCGTCAGGGCAGCTGCTGGCCAGTAGTGCACCGAGCTCAGGGCACCAGGACACGGTAAGGGCTACCCGGGATATGCTCGTCGCCCCACTTGACCACCAGCGTGTACTCCCCTTTGTCCTTGAGCAGGTAGGAGACGCTGTAGAGCCTGCTGCCCACGTGCTTCACCAGGATCTCCTCGCAGGGTGTCCTGGGGCCGTGAACCCCCACCAGCAGCATGCTGTTGCCTGAAGGAGCAATGGGCCTCAGTCACAGGCCCCGTCCCTGCCCTATGCCCCCGCTGTTGAGGCCACTCCAGCTTCCCGACCCCCAGCTCCACCCTTTCCTTGGCGGTACAGACGGCAGCTGCCCACCTGCTTTGCTGCAGTCCACCGTGAAGCTGCTCTTCTGGCCCACGTAGGCCTTGCTCAGCCCCAGGCCCTTGGCCACCACTTTGCTGGCATCGGCAGGACCCGGGCCTGACACGCCATGCTGGGTGGCAGCAGCAGCAGCCTTGCTCAGGGAGTCCACAAACACCGAGGACGTCTCATGGAGGCTGTGGTTGCTGACGAGCCGAGGGCCTGTGGGGCACAGTGGCTTGGGCTGAGACGGGGAGGAGTACCAGGCATCAAGTGGGCACCAGAAGCCTGGCCATAGGCTCACCTGTGACTTTGGCCTTAAAGGGGCTGCCCCCGATGTGGTAGGGCCCACCATACTTGATGGAGATGAGGTAGCTGCCAGGTGCCATGGGAGTGTAAGTGACGCGGTAGCCCTCGGGGCACTCCTGGCAATCCATCTTCACCTTGGAGGGGCCATCGATCGTCACCGAAAGGGCACCGGCTCCCGCATTGGTTGTGTTCACGATAAATTCAGCTGGGCTCCCTGGGAACAAGGGAGGTCAGGCAGGGTTTCCTGGAGCCCCGACGCCCAGCCACCCAGTACAGGTGCGCGGAAGCGACGCGCCTCCTGTTGTGGCCAAGAGCTTGGCCATGGCCGACTCAGCCACGCGCAAAGCTGTACCTGCCGACCCACCTGTAATGCCGCCTTCCAGGCCTGCTCCGTAGGCGGACACCATGCCTGGGTCCCCTCCGTGCCCAGGCTCCCCAACTCGGATCTTGAAGGGGCTTCCAGGGATGTGGGTGCCGTTGAACTTGACATCAATCAAGTAGATGCCATTCTCGCGTGGGATGAAGCGCACAGCATACTTATCTGAGGAGTACAAGGGCATGCTGCGGGCCAGGGGGCTCACTGGGTAACCAGCAGGTAGCCACTCAAAAGGACAGCCTCAGTCTTGGCCTTCTGGGGTTTCCCTCACTGGCCAGAACGACCCAAGCAAGATCTTCTCCCCCAGCCCCAACCTGGGACCCCTCTTCTTCTTCTAGGGCCGTGTCGGATGCCCACACACCCGCAGAAGGCTGAGGGCGGAAGCTTTAGGCGCCCAAGCAGCCCGCCATCTGGACTCATCGGCACCCAACTCTTTTGTGAGCACAACACCCGCCTCGCCTGTTTGCATTCGAAGAGGTACCGTAAGTGCCAGGACCCCTGCCCGTGAACCAGGGCTCATGCACAGGCCGAACTTGCTTCGAGCCACACAGCCAGGAAGGGGCGGGACTAGGTGGTGACACTGATGCGGGCGAGTCTACTGCAGGCGCCAAGCACTTGGCCAAAGATCCGGGCAGCCCGTGGCTAGACTTGAGGGTTCTCCCTCTGCAGACAAACTGCATTGCGCTGCCAAAGCCTTCTTCCTAGTGGCCACACTTGGCAAGCCAGATGCCCGAGGGCTTGGGCTACGAGTCAAGGAGGGGTTGCCTGGTTGAGAGGGCCCAGGCAGACATCGGGGCCCCATCTTGGCTGCTGATGGAAAAGTCTGTACCTTCCTTTTGTTCTCAGCCTGCTTCCAGCTGGCTGGACAGGCTTTGGGGAAGCCTGCTGCGCCCGATGGGCCCTGGGCAGGCGGGTGGCTGGGCAGGGACAGGGCCTCACCTTGGTCAATCTCTGTGACATAGCACTCCTCCAGGGCTCCCGAGGGGCTGTGCACCTTGGCATCAATCGCCCCCTTGGCCCCATTCAGGCTGACTGCAAAAGAGGCTGGCTGGTTGACCTTTAGCCCTGACTCCTGGAAGCACAGCAGATGAGGTTAGGTGGGGTGGCAGGAGCAAGGGAGGAAGGAGGGCAGGGCCCGAGTCAGGAGGCCCCACGAGCGCATACTTACCCAGCTGGCGTCCAACTTGGTTTAAAGAGGGAGAGCCACTGATTTGCTAGGGACAGCAAGTGACAGGCATACGCCCTCTCCCTTCTCCCCGTCCCCCACCCCACAACTCTACAGTCACACAGTCCCAGGCAGCAGGAAGGGAGGGTGGCCCTGCAGCCCTGGCAGGCTGTCCCTCTTTAAACCTCAGCCCTGGTGCTCAAGGGGCACAGGCTCCTGTTCAAAGCCTTTAGACCTGAGACACGAGAAAAACTCCACGCGGCGGGCAGGGTGCTTCCTGCCAACCCCAAGCACGGGCTGTGCCCGGCCAGAGCAGGGGCCCGGTGCCCAGAGCTGGGCCGGGTGAGTTACTCGACACAGGGCCACGGCCTGCGCTTCGTGGTGCCTCTGGTCTGGCCGGGCCCAGGAGCCCTAGGTGGACAGTTTCTCTCAGTGCCTCACCTGAAGACTAGAAACAGTAAGGCGGCGGGCATCGCCGGACGGAGAAGCCACAGGCACCACGAAAGGACTGTCAGGTATGTGCTCCTCGTTGAACTTCACCGACACCTCGTAGTCACCTGGGCGGGAAGAGAGCACGAGGCTACACCGGGCCACGGCAGCAGTGAGTCATCTTATGCCATCCCAAGGCTTAGCCCAGGTTCTGGGACCTCGAGGCAGGGGATGGGGGTGGTGTCTGCAGGCCAAGGGGTGGAGGTGGGTGTACGGAGTCAACTCCCACTCCTGCTCCAGCCCCAGCTTGGCCCCCTGTACCTGGCTCCTGGACCACATAGGCCACACCGCACGAGCCATCCTTGCGGTCCTCGAAGGAGATCTCAGCCTTGCTTGGGCCCTCCACAGCAATGGCCAGGCCCCCAGCACCAGCCTCCCTGGTCCAGATGCTGAATTCAGCTGTGGAGAACAGTGGTTTCTCCTAGGAGGTTGGTCCTGGACTACGGCCCTCCCAGCAAGGTCCCAAATGGCATGGCTGGCTCCTCGCCCAGAGCAGCCTCCCCGCAAGCACCCAGGAGAGCAAGAGCGCCCATAGGCAAGCTGGCCTACCTGGCACTCCAGCTTCAGCCCTCTCCAGGCCAGGGCCTCCAGCACGGACCTTGTGGGCTCCTCCTTCCCCGAGGGGCCCCACAGTGAACTGGAAGGGGCTCCCAGGCACGTGCTGGCCCTTGTACTTGACACTGACTGTGTGTGTGCCCATCTCGGCAGGCACAAAGCGGATACAGTATGTGTGGTTCTCGCCTTCCACAATCTCAGCCTCGTGGCTCTTGCCCGAGGGGCTGGTCACCTGGGCTGTCATGTCCTGGATGCTGATTTCTGTGGGGGGGGACGGACGGTGATAGCCTGGTAGGCAGGAGGCCTGCACCCCACCGCCTCTCAAAACCACTCTCTGGCTCCTCACAGCCCCTACCAGGGATCTTGAGGCTGAGGTCGCAGTGACTGCCAACGTTGGCTACCGAAGGAGCCCGTCGTCTGCGTGTGATGCTCTCTTTCACCCGGCCCTCGCCTGTCACTTTGACTGAGAAGGGGCTACCTGCAGGAAGAAAGTGAAGCCCATGCCCAGCACAGGTTACACACGGTGTGGTAGCGAGGCTGGGGCAGGAGGTGCGTGGTCACCACACTAACCGGGCACGTGCTGGTCAGCAAACTTGATGTTGATTATGTAGTTGCCGGGCTCTGTGGGGCAGTAGGTGACTCTACACGTGCCGTCTTCCAGGTCCTCTGTGTTGATATCCACCTTGCTGGGTCCCTCGATGGAGAGGCTGAGTCCACCGTAGCCTGGGAAATGGCCAGCCCTGAGTCAGACTGCCAAGTACCATGCTGCCCACTGCGGCAGGTAGGCAGGCAGGCAGGCAGGCAGGCAGGCAGGCCACCGCTACCTACCTGCATCTCGAGTGTCAATGATAAACTCCGCAGGTTCAAAGGTATGGCCCTCGTGAAGGCCCTGGCCAGACACGCGCACACGGCTGGCATCCCCAATCTCCGACTGGCTGATCACCACTGGGATGGGGCTGCTGGCCACGTGCTGACCATTCTTCTTCACATGCACCAAGTGCTCCCCCGTCTCCTTAGGCACGAACGAGATCCCTGGGCACGCGGGGCAGGACTGTCAGCGGGAGAGGGCGCGGGTCTCCCTCCCGCAGCTGCCTTCCCTTCCAGGCCCCCTAGGCCTCATACCCACGTGACCGTTGCGCAGCCGCTTCAGCAGACATGGCTCCTCCCGGCCGGATGGGGGCACCACGGTGGCCGTCAGCAGGCTGAGGTCCGTCTCCGAGATGTTGATGGGAATGTCAGCTGCAGAGCCCACCTTCAGGTGGGACATCCGCATGGAGTCGTCACCTGGCAGGGGCAGGGGTAGGGTCATCTGTCACTATGCGTCTAGCCTGGCCGCAGGAGGACCAGACACCCAGCAGGCTGCCTGCTGCTGCCCACGGCCCACTGCCCCCGGGGCCACGCACCTGTGACCCTGGCAGTGAAGGGGCTGCCTGGGATGTGTTGGTCGTTGTACTTGACCAGGATGCTATAGTCGCCAGGCAGTACCGGCAGGTAGGAGACACTGCACGTCCCGTCCTGGTTGTCAGTACAGCTGATTTCCGCTTTGGAAGGACCCTCGATGGCCAGTGACAGGCCCCCTGGGGAGAGTCGCCAGAGAGGCTAGGCCTCGTGCCTTGGGTTGAGGGCATATCTCTAGGCCTGCCCTGAGGAGGTGCCCCACGGGGCCGGGTGGGAGGGAGGCAGGGGAAGGGCTGAGGGACAGGGTGCCCTACCCGGAACCCCTGGCACATTCAGCCCTCAGCCGGGAAGGACATCCCAGACCCCCAGGGCATGGAGACCACGGAGACCACGGCTGCTGCTCACCTTCTCCCGCGTCTTTGGTGTTGACAGTGAACGTGGCGGGCTTGTTCACCACTCCATGACTAAGGCCTGGTCCGTAGGCAGTGACATGACCACAGTTAACGTAATCCACATAGAACTGCAGGGGGCTCCCTAAGGTAGGAAGAGGGACCACATGGATGGGCAGCCTTGTGTCTGCCACAGCATCCCACAGAGATGGTGCTGACTACAGTGGGGCACCAGGCCAAGGAGGTGGCCCACCTGGAATGTGCATGTTATCGTAGCGGATGTCCATCTCGTGCAGGCCAGCCTCACTGGGTGCATAGCGCACAGTCACAGTGCCGTCCTTGTTGTCAGTGATGGCAGGCTGGGCCACCTTGCCTGAGGGCATCCGAACCTCCCCTGTGGACCACGGGGCAACAGTCAGCTGCCCCTGCTGCTAAAGTCGGCACCCTGCAGCATCCAGCCCGGGCTCCTTCCAGGCTGCCACTCACCAGTGATCTCGCCCTTCTTAATGGCGAAGGGGATGACGAGGTCAAAAGGCCTCAGGCTGGTCACATCCAGCCCGTTCACGCCCACCAGGGGCCTCTCAGGGGCCTGCAGTGGGGATGGAGACAGCATGCCCAGGTAAGTATGGCACAGGGGTCCCTCCTTGCAGATGGCCCATGGGCCTTCCAGCCGGCCAGCCCACAGCATCCCCTCGAGCTGGGCAAGCCGGACCGTACCCAGGTCTGCTGGCCACCCTGGGCATAGGCGTACTGTGGGGCCAGCTGCTGAGGCCGCAACGGGGGCTGTGCCACGGGCTGGTCCCCAGCCAGAGCCTGTGGGGCGGAGCGAGAGCTAGAGAGTCTGTTGTCACCGAGGGGCCCTGGGAGACAGGCTGGGCTGCACCTGTCGAGAGCCCCCCCACTCCCTCCCCAGCCCTCCTCACCGTCACTTGGAACGGGCTGTTTGGCACATGCTCGCCACCAAAGCGCACGCAGATCACATATTTGCCTGGCTGGGGGGCTGTGTAGAAAATGTCAAAGGTACCATCTTCATTCTCTACCACGTCCACGTCCACTTCGGAGCCGTCAGGCGTGCACACGGTGCAGGTCACCTTGCCTTTCCCTGCCGCCTTTGTGTCCACGGTGATCACAGTCTCCTCCCCAATCCGGATGGTGGGGCCAATGCCAGCACCTGGGAGGGCAAGGCAGGTCCCCAAAGGGGAGGCCGGCATGTGAGCTCGGCCCCTGGGCTGCTCCTGTGTGCCTGCTGCCCACCCAGGTCTCTCAGTGGCACCACGAAGCGCAGCCAGGTCTCCCACCCCTCCCCCAGCTGGGATGGCGAGTGCTTTCTCAGAAGACAGGAAGGCTTCTCCCGACCACCTCAAGCCCGGAAGCCCACCTCAAGCCCTGACTAGGGGGTCCCTGGGTGCCAGGGAAGAAAAGGGTGCACCTTCTCGGCATAAGCAGTTCCTGCTCCCTCCCTGCCCTCCCCACTTGGTCTCACTGGCCTGTGGCCGGCGTCAATGAATGGCAGCATTCTGCCGGGCCCATAGTTGCCTGCACCTGCTGTGACTTGGCCCCCAATGCTGTGTGGACGCAGTGAGGCAGAGTCCTGCTGCAGCGTGGGGGGCATGTGACACTCGCCTTCCTACCCCCTAGGCCTGAATGGGACACCGGAGCTTCCTGCCAACTGAGAACGCTCGCTCCAGCAGCAGCAGCAGCTCACAGTGAGGCAGCCCGGCGCAGGCGGGAGCAGAGAAGCAAGAGGCAGCGAGGTTAGCACCCAAGGAGTGCAGCATGGCAGGCTTGGCAGAGCAGTGGCAGCACCCAGGGGACAGGGACAGGAGGCCCAAGCCACAGCCACCACCACGGGCTTGCAAGGGCAGAGCAGCTGAATAGCCTCGAGGGCCCCAGAGTGCCCAAGGAAAGGGGAGGTACAGTGACGTTATGGCCTGGGGCTCAGCTGTGGAGGCTTGGGGAGCTGTGGGCTGTGAGGCCTAGCAGCAAGAGCACCCCTACAGCCTGGCCTCCTGCCAAGGAAGCAGCCAGGAGCACCAAACCTGCTAGAGAGCCAAGTTCAAGGGGCCCTCTGGCCAGTCTGCCACATCCCCCTACTGGCCAAGGATCCTTCCCTCTGCCCTAGGCCTCGTGCTGGCTATCCATGGCCCAAGTGTGTCTCCTGGGCTCCGGGCCTGGCCACCTGCTGCCCCGGGAGGCCTTACTCACAGGAACCTTCCAACACCTGACTCCCACTTTCCCAGCTTAGCCCCTAGCCCATCAGCGGGTCTCAGCCACTTTAGTCTCCACGTACACCTCCGACTGGGCTCCCACCTGGAATCCCATGGCCATTGGCCTGGCTCAAGCCACCTGTCCAGCTTGCCCAAAAGCGACTTCAGCCCCCAAGTGGGGCTCCCTGCCTCTATGCCTCCATACTGTCCGTATTGGCTACATAAACTAAGGCCACACTAAGCCTCTTGCCCTGCCCACTGGCCCCCAAAACCGAGTCCTGCCCATATACCAGGTCCTCTCCCATCCCCAGTTCTGCTCTCCCAAGTTGTCTAGCCAGCATTCGCAAAACCCTAGCCACCCTCTACTGCTCTCTGGCCACCTTGACCGAGTGGCTGGTCTACAGCCTACGGAGGCCCTCAAATCATGGTGGCCTCTCAGCGGTGCCCCTGGCTGGGCAGGCACACCTGGCTGCCTGTCTGGGGATGGCCTGGATAACGTCACTGCTGGGGGACAGGAGAGGAAGGGAAGGAGGAAGACGGGCAACATAGTGCACTTTGGGGCTCTGAGGCCGGACTGGGCCCCGCCATGCTGGTCACCCAAGCAGTCAACGCTGGCGCTACTGCACTACCAGCCAGCCCTCCCTGCCCCCCATCCACGCTCATGCACTCCCCCAGCCCAGGATTCAGGCCCCTGGGAGGTAGGGATGGGAGTCTGTGGATCTGGCCGGAGCTCAGCACTGCCCTTGTCCCCTTAAGACACGTAGGGGCCCTCATGAGAAGGAAGGGCCTGCTGCCTATCCCTGGGCATTACCCAGAGTGCCAAGATCCCCAGACCCCGAATTCCCCGGCGGGGTGCCTCTCAGGATGCACCTCACCCCCAAGCTCTCAGCTGCAACCCGAGTTCTCTGATGGGGAAGCAGAGGCCCAGAGAGGGGAAGGGCCGGTGTGTTCATGCTTTGCTCGGGAAGCCTTGCTGGGCCCTGACCCTCCAGCCAGGGCCTCCTCTTGCACAGCCCCTCCCCCCACCGCCCACTCTATCCCTGCTGGGAGCTGCAGCTGGAACTGTCCTGGGAATTAGCACCAAAGAGGAAAGGAAGCTGCCCCTTTGGGCAGGAGGGGCATCGGGAGTGGCCCCAGCAAGCAGCTTACCTAGCCCGTGACCTCCGATTGACACTGAGGTGAGAGGGCAGAGAGCAAGGAGAAAGGTCAGGTGAGTCACTCAAGGGGGCGGCCCCCACTCCCACACGCCGCCCCAAGCAGCGAGCCCTTGCACACAGGCAACACCCAAGCCTCGTGCCGAGTGTCACGGCGGCCGCTGGCAGGCTGGCTCACCTGTGACTGTGCATTTGCTGGCATCTCCAGTGGGCACAGCCCGGACACGGTACGGGGAGAAGGGGATCTCATCACCACCATACTTGATGAGGATGGTGTAGCGGCCTGTCACATCTGGCACATAGGCCACAGTGTACGTCCCATCGTGATTGTCCTGGATGTGTGTCTTCTTGGGCTTGCCTTCAGGGTCCTGTGCAGTGGAGCATGCAAGAAGTATTGGTTGAGCCCAGATCAGTCCAGACCATTTTATGCCCTCCCAAATCAACAGCAAACCCTGCTGCTATGAGAACAGCCCACAGCTGTCCCCTGGCCAGAGTCTAGAACTGAACAACAAAAAGGGCCAAGGACCCAAGTATTCATCCTGTTTGACCAAGTTCCCTGCCACAAGCCACAGACCCAGGGCCGACCCACAAGTATCTCAGCTAGAAGATGCCAGAGTCTGGGGTTCAGACCTGCCTCACAAGAAGAGCACACAGGGAGAAGTGAAGACACTAAACGCCTTGCAAATGCACTATTAGCTGCTTGCACATGGTCAGCAAAGCCAGAGCCTGCCCCAAGTCGTAACCCAGCAGAACAGAGACGGACACCCACCCTTCCTTCCCCACCCTGGTACAACTCCCTAGAGAGTGCCAGGCTGGCCTCCCCTGTCCCTGTCGCCCTGCCCCACACCAGTGAAGTTTGTGAGCTCACCGTGATCTGCACAGCCAGCAGGCCTTCCCCAGCATCCTTAGCATCAATAGTGAACTCAACCGGGAGGCTAGCCGGGACACCAGTGGTGTTGAGTCCAGGGCCACTGGCCTTCACCTTGCTGGCATCATGTGTAGGCAGCACCTTGACCTTGAAGGGGCTGTGGGGCCAAGGTGTTGGGAGATCAGCTGACAAGCCTGCAGCACACAGCCGGAGCCCTCCCTACAGGCAGTGGGCCCCGCCTCTCACCTGCGCGGCACCTCTTCTTCCCCATACAGCACAGAGATGCTGTAGGGTCCTTCTCGGCTGGGCACATAGTTGACCGTCTGGGTGCCATCGGCATTGTCCACCACATCCACTGGCTCCACAAGGCCTGGCCCCAATCCAAGAGACAGAACCTCAGACAGCTTACTGGACTGTCTCCCTTCCCCACTAACCCAGCCTCAGGCGCACCTCATCCTCACTGCCCATACCCAACAGCCCCAAACCCCTGTGGCACAGATACCACTCTGGAGGCCTTCTCAGACACCTGTCCTTCTTCCATCCTCCCCCCATGTGTCAGTGGGCACATCTCAGCTATTTTACCTCCTCCTGGTCTCCCCACCAGCTCAGCTGTCAGCCCAAGGCCCCCCAACTGCAGCTGCCTGCACTGGGTGTGCTGCGTCTCCCTGTTCTTCCCTCAGTAACTGCAAAGACAACCCCCCTCCGAGCCACTGGCTGCCATGCAGGAGGGCACTCACCTTTGGGGCCCTGTACTTTGACCTGCAGCGGGGCCACACCAGCCTTGCTTGTGTCCACCTGGAAGGACTGAGGAATGTTGGCACGCACCATGCCTGGGCTCAAGCCAGGCCCAGAGCACTGTACCTTGGATGCATCTGTCACGTCATGCACAGGGACCTTGAAGGGACTTCCTGGGTGTTGGACAAAGAGGCAAACAGCTGTGTAAGATACAGTGGGACAGAGGGCAGTCCCAGCAGTCTTGATCACTGCCTCCTTACCTGGCACTTGGTGGCCACCGTAGGTGACATTGAGGTTGTAGGTGCCAGGCTCATAGGGGATGTACTCTACCGAACAGCTGCCATCCTTATTGTCCATGCAGGACATCTTAGCCTCAGAGGGTCCCTCCACAGCCAGGCCCAAGCCGCCGGTACCAGCTCCCCTGGTCCCAACAAGAGCCTGTCATCTCTAAGGGTCCTGAGGCACAGGCCTCCCCCATATCCACAGTGATTAGCTTACCTGGTCTCCACAGTGAACTTATTGGGCTTGTTGGTGGTCCCACTTTGGATGCCTGGCCCATGCACCCGCACCCGGGAGGGATCACAGCCCTCAGTGACGGGCACCTGGAAGGGGCTGCTGGGCACGGGGCTGCCAGCATAGGTCACATCGACAGAGTGCAGTCCTAGAGGGGGGGTTAGGCTGAGTCAGGACCTGTGTGGCACCCGCCCCCAGTCAAGGCACCCCCATACATACCCTCTTCGTAAGGCGTGTACTCCACTTTGTACGTGCCATCTCCACAGTCCTGCACATAGGTCTCGGTCAGGTTGCCTGAGGGGTTGGACACACGGGCCTTGACATGCGGCCCTCCAGTCTGTGTCAGAGCTCGGGCATCCACACTAAACTCAGTGGTGGCCTCCCGGAAGACACCTACAGTGGGGCACAGAAAGCAGGCATGTGGGGCTGTGGCCTCCAACCCCCACCCTACCCTGCCACCATGTATCTCCTGTTCCCTCACCTTGGCCCTCAATGCCAGGTCCGTAACACTGGACACCCGAGGTGTCCACCGCAGGCTCTACCTGCAGCTTGCTGGGAAAGTTGGGCACAGGCTGGCCGCCATACTTGATGGTGACAGTATAGGCCCCTGGGCAGAGAGGAATGTAGGTGATGGTATGTGTGCCGTCACCGTGGTCTTGGATATAGACCTCTGCTGGAAGCCCTGCCTCGGAGCAGATCTCAATGGTCAGCTCTGCACTGCCTGCACTCGAGCAGTCCACTTGGAACTGTCCAACCTCGCCTGCAGTGGCTCGCTCCAGCCCAGGACCCGAGCACTTAACCTTGGATGCATCAAAGCAGGGAACTACATGGGCCTTGAATGGAGAGCCAGGGATGTGGGTGTCGGCGAAAAGGATGTTGATATTGTAGTCTCCAGGCTCAGTGGGCACGTAGGACACAGAGCATGTGCCGTCCCCATTGTCCAGACACTCGAGTTGGGCCTCGCAGGGGCCTTCCACTGTCAGGCCCAGGCCCCCTGTGCCAGCACCCTTTGTGTCGATAGTGAAGCGGGCCGGGGAGCCAGCACTGCCCCCTTGTAGTCCCGGCCCGAATGCCTTCACCTGAGGAAAGAGGGAGGTAAGAGCTGAGGGCACGCCACCTGCAGCCTAACCCTCTGTCTCCCCTTTGCCCCCTGCCTAGGCCACCCAGCGGTCATGAGAACAAAAAGCAGAAGCGGTAAAGACAGGCTTGGAAGAGAGGCGTCCCCAGAGACCCCTACACACTGAGTGCCCACCACACTGCGGTTACCTTGCTGGGCTTGGTCGGGGCCACAGCTTCCAAAGGAAAGGGACTGCCAGGCACAGGCACGCCGTCATACGTCACTTCCACCTCATAGGGCCCCTCCTCACGGGGAACGAAGCGTACCACACTGTTGTCTGCTGCCAGACCTGCCTCCACCTTACATGGCACTGCAGTGCCCGAGGGGCCCACAATCTTGGATGCCACCTTGCCTTGGCCACCAGCTCCCTTTGATTTGATCGTGAACTCTTGGTCTTTGCCCACATCCACTTCTGTCAAAGGAAAGGAGGAGAGAGCTGTGAAGTGCAGCTGCAGCAGACTCTCGGGACAAGCCCCGGGCTGCTGAAAGTGGTCTTCCGAGACCTCAACAAGGGTCCCTGGCACTTACTCTCTCCCAGGCCAGACACCTTGATCTTGCTGAGGTCCAGGCTTGGAGCCACTCCCACTGAAAAGGGGCTCTTGGGGATAGGATCCCCTCCGTAAGTGACATTGACTCCGACTGGGCCCTGGGAGGTGCGCAGAAAGATTGGAATGAGGTTTAGAGGCAGCGGTGTGGCTCACTACTCCCCTCCGCCAAGGACTGTTGACTGCGCTCTCCCAGGGAGACATGAAAGTAGGCAGGAAGCCCCCTGGAGCAGCCCACTTAGGCCACCGTGCCAGGAGGCCTACTGACTGACTGGCTGACTGTAGTGGAGGGGTGTGGCTGCAGGGGTAATAAGAGTACCTGCTGCACAGGTGTGTACTTGACCGTGTAGGTGTTATCATGGTGGTCAATGATGTCCACGTCTCTCACAGCATCCCCCTTGGCCATCCCTGAGAACTGGACATCCAGTTTGCCTTTGCCAGCAGCTTTGGCATTGACCGTGAAATGGGTGGGTTTGCCAAGCTCAACACCTAAGGAGACACAGCGGCCATGCAGAGAAGCCTAGATTTGGGTGGTAGCTCCCAACCTCCTCCAGGAGACTCCTCCTCACCAGTGCGACTAAGGCCAGGACCCTCAGCCTTCACTTTGCTGGCATCGTGAGAGGGTTCCACCTTGACTCGGATGGGGCTGGTGGGTGTGGCCTACAGATTGCAGAAAGACAAGGGCTGAGAAGAGAGCAGCACGCCAACACGCAGGAGTCTTGGGGCTGGAAACAGCAGTACCCACCTGGTCAGCAAAAAGAACCATGATGGTGTAACTGCCAGCCCCACGAGGCGTGTACTTGACTGTGAAGGTATCGTTGTCATTGCGGATGATGTCAAAGTCAATGTCGGCCTCAGCAGGGCCCACCACTCCAGGGGCACACTTGATGCCAATGCTGACATCTCCTGTGACAAGGTACAGAGTGGAGACTGGTACCTCGCTCAGCAACCCATCCACCTGAATTCTTATCCTCTCAGGCCACCACCCAGGGCCAGCCCTTACCTTGGCCTGCCTCTGTGCAGTCCACAGTGAAGTAGGTGGGTTCATGGGCCTTGAGCCCTGTCTTGGCCACTCCTGGCCCATATACCTTGACCTTGTTTGGGTGGCTGCCAGCTCCCACGTTCACCTGCAGGGGCACAGGGGCAAGTGTAAGGATCTGAACAGCTTGGGGAAGTCAGGCTTGCTTGCTCAGCCATGGCTGCAGGCACAAAGACTGGCACAGGTGTCACGGGGGGAGCCTGACACTGAGAAGTCCCCCTTCTTAACTAGGACCTGGGTCCACACAACACTCGTCCCACACACTCATAGTACCTGCAGGTAAAAATACCCTGAGACTTCATCCGCAGACAAACAGGCAAACAAAAATACCTATCTATACAATGGTGACCTAGTAGTCAGCCATAGGAAGGCATGAAAACTTCTCCAGGCTACAACTGAACAGAAACGCCACATATCGTTTCTGCCTCATAGGCTTTGAAGGGAGTGCAGCCAACGGGGAGTGCCTCCTGAGGCTCAGGTGACGTCAGTGCCACGCGCTGCAGTAGTGGCGGCCACTCTGCACGTGCTGAGAGCCAGCGAGGTGTCTGCCCGAAACGGCAATATGCTTTCAGAGATGCCAGGGCGGACGGTCCCAAACCCCCAGAGGGCCAGCTCACCCGGAAGGGGCTATTGGGGATGCTGACACCACCCCAGGACACCATGGCTGTGTGTTTCACTGGCTTCCTGGGGGTGTAGGAGCAGCTGTAAGTGCCGTTGCCATTGTCCTTGACTGTTGTTTCTACAGGGCAGCCTTCATTGTCCTGTAAGGCAGAGGAAGGTGGTCTGTGAGTGTGCCCAGAGCTGGAGGTGCACCTGCCCTGTCCCCAACAGAGGTGGAGCCCCACCTGGACTTGCACTCGGAGCGGGGCCTTCCCACCAAGCTTGGCATCCACCGTGAACTCTGCTGGTTTGTTGACGGCCACTCCTGTCTTCTCTAGCCCAGGCCCACGTGCCTTCACCTGTTAAGGGACAGCCCAGAGCTCAGAGGCCCAAGGCTAGACACCCCCAGTGATATGAGCCAGGCAGGGAAACCAGGAGCATGCTGGGGCGGATAGCAGCCCAAGGTCTGCTTCCCAGTCTTCCAGCCCAGCTGACAGAAGCAGTGGCACTAAGCCCCCAAACTGCAGCAGAAGGAAGTCATGACTCAGGCCAGCACACGCCTCTTACCCTGTCTGGGTGGAAGTCCTGGGGCGCGTCGCGGATGTCAGCCATAAAGGGGCTAAGGCGGATGTCCTCACCGTTGCATAACACATGAACGGCATATTCGCCAGCCTCCTGTGGCCAGTAGCGCACATCACACGAGCCATCACCCTTGTCGTCGCATTCGATCTTGGCCTGTGATGGCCCTTCCACTGAGAAGCCTGACAAAAGCCACCAGCCCCATCAGTGTCCTAGAGCCTTGGGGTGGGCTCCCTGGCCCCCTCAGCCCCCAGGCACCTGCACCTGCTGCCAACTCACCCAGGGTGCCCACGTCGTCACCAATGGCCTCCACCACAAAGTCAGCCGACTTGCCGACAACACCGCCCTCCAGCCCGGGTCCCCAGGCCCGCACCTTCTGATTGCCGCACTCGGTTCCCACCTTCACCTCGAAGGGACTGTGGGGGGGGGGAGAGGCACGCAGGGTGGTGCTGAGGGGCGCCACCTTGCAGGGGACACTCAGCTGGGGAGGCAGGAGGGATGCTGCAAAGTGAGGAGGGAATGCCCAGAGCCCTCACCTGCGCCCGATGTTCTGGCCACCCCAAGTGATGGTGACGGTGTACGTGCCAGGGACAGTGGGGTAGTATTCGAAACCATATGTACCATCACCCAGGTCCTTCTGCTTCACCCGCTCCTCGCCCTCTGCCAAGACATGAGGGCATTAGGACTGCCCAGCAGCAGCCCAATAGGCTGCCCCCCTCCACCCAGCCCCAGGCCAACTTACTGGGGCCCTTCACAGTGACCTTCAGCTCCCCGCTGCCAGCTCCCTTTGTATACACCTTGAAGTCGGCAGTCTCCTTCACCCGCACACCCTTGGGCTGAAGGCCTCGGCCGACGGCCCGGCAGGCACTCGGGTTACAGGCTGAGGGCAGAGGAGCGGCCTCAGACACTGTGAGTTGGTAGGATCTGGCTGTCCCCTCCCTTGCCTCCCACAGGGCCAGCAACATGCAAGGAAGGACTACAATGCATCAGGTCCCCGGGAAATGTGGCCAAGGCCAGGCCATGGCCTCCTCCCCCGACATCCGCAGCCCCCAGGCCCCACCCAGCCATCCCTCCAACAAGACGAAGGATGCAAGTACCATTGACCCTGCAGGCAGAGAGCAGCAGGTTCCTAGACAGCTGGAGCGAGCTCCTCCGAAGATGAGAGCATGGAGAGGAGAGAGGCAAGAAAAGGAGCAGAAAGAACGGCCCAGCAGGCGAGGAAAGACAGCGCGTCCCAGACAGCAGAAACTCAGAGACCAGCGTGCCTGGGCAGCAGCTTGCTCTCCTCCCACCAAAGCCCCAGGCCGAGACGACAAGCATGGGGGCTGTCAGGCCCAGACCCACCTTGGCCAACTGTGACCATGTAAGGGCTGCGTGGGATGGGCACCCCAGCAAACGTGACGTGCACCGTGTGCACACCCTCCATGGTGGGCTGGTAGCTACAGCGATACATGCTGTCACCCCGGGCCTCCAGCTGTGGCTCCACTGTGCCCTTCTGTCCTGTAGGGTCCTGAATCACGACTTCCACCTCACCGGTGCCAGCTCCTGCCAAGAGGCACAGCTTCAGCTCCTGGGCACCAACAGGGCCCTGCCTCTCACTTCCCCCTTGACCGGCCAGGCCTGCACAGCTGCCTCCCACCTGCTGTGAAAATCTCGAAGTAGGTAGTCTTGTTGGCAATACTGCCGGTGGGCTCTAGGCCAGGGCCCTGGGCAGTCACTTTGCTGGCATCCCCCTGTGATTTGTCCACATACACTTCGAAGGGGCTCTTGGCAATGTGCTGACCCGCAAACAGCACAGTGACCTGTTGCCAGGAGGAACTGAATGTGAGGGCAGGTTCCAGGGCTCTAGCTATGGCCCACACCAGCAGCCAATCCTGCAGTAGCCCAAGGCTCACCTTATGAGTCCCCGTCACCTCGGGGACATAGCAGACAGAGAAGGTGCGGTTCTTGTCATTGTTGGCAGTCACCTTGGCCTGCAGCAGGAAGCAGCTCATAAGCCTTTGTGGTCTTCCAACAGGGGGCACCCAGGAGTCTCCCAGCCTGCAACAGCTGCCCCTACCTCCTCCTGGTGCCCCGCTGGATCCTCCACATACACCAGCACCTCTCCCTGGCCAGCACTTCTGGTCTCCACCGTGAACTCCGCCCGCTTCTTCACCATGTTGCCTGTGGGCTCAATGCCTGCCGAGGGAGCAAACAAGCCAGAGGTAGCTGTGAAGCCCTCCCCCGCTGCAAGCTTAGCGCCCTTGCCTGCTAGAGACCTGACCACCTTCCCACAGATCCCTTCGCTTACAGGAAACCTGTACCAGGCCCTCCCACCCTCCCACCCTGCATGCTTCTGTGACTTGAGCAACCCGCTGGTGCTCTCTGGTCCCATCCAGTGACCTGGCCCACTGCTGTCTGTGGCCTGGATGGCATCGAGTCACCCAGCCACTGTGCGACCCACCATACCCTGGGGCCTGTTGGAGGCCTCCCAAAGAGCATGCTATGCCTTGGGGAGGGCATGAGCACATGTGAGCACCTCCAGCCAGGTTCTCTCACCTGGCCCATAGGCTCGGGCTTTCTTGGGGTTCAGCTTGGGCCGCAGGGGAGCCCCTGGCTTCAGCTTGGCCTTGGGAAACTGAGACAGGTAGGTCATCACAGAGTGCTCATCCACATTGGGGTCCACAATCTCCTCCGGGGTGATCACCTGTCACAAAAGAAGGAACAGTGGAGCCACATCCCATTGCCCCCTCAGGATGCGCTCGTAGGCAGCAGCGAGCCTGGCTGACAGTGGTGTACCTGGGGGATACCCAGCCAGTCGTCGGCCTGCTGCATGGCCTCCCGTGCGTTGTTCACAGGCTTGCTGGCATCCCAGGAGTCCCAATCGGGGCAGAGGCCTGCAGCAGGAGGCAGACTGTGAGGCCGGAAACAGCAGAGTACTGCCATCCCAGTCTCCCCACTGGCCCCACTCCTTCACCTGGGGCACAGCTGTCAACAAGGGCACCCAGGGCCCGGCCACTCTGCCAGTCCCGGCTGAAGTTGGTGATGGGCAGCTGCGGCAGCTTGTTCTGGATCCAGCCCAGCAGCCTCTGCTTGGGGGTCTGCTTCTTGGCCTCCTCATCCTCCTCCTCGTCCCACATGGGCATGGAGATGGAGTAGTGCAGGATTAGGGTCCAGATGAGCCCCAAGATGAGCTTCAGGTTGCCATCAACGATGGCCTTGCTGTCTGTAACACAGAGCAGTGGCAGCGCTGGGCACTTGGGCCTTGGAGGCGATGGGGCCCTCTCTGCCCAGAGACTGTTGGGAGCAGAGGGAGAGACCCCACAGGCACATGGCAATAGTGCATAGCAAGGAGTGCTAGGAGTCAGTCTGCACACGGGGCTGCAGGAGGCACTGAAGGCCAGTGCTGAGATGGGGCTACAGCAGGGGCTGCTCCGGCCTGGGAGGAGCAGCCAGTGCTCCTGACCTCCAGCTGGGTTTGGACTGAGGAGGGGGAAGGCTGGATTGGCACAGACAGTTGGGAAACAACTGCTGCTCCAGAGAGACTGCGGGGCGGGGCATAAAGCAGGGGAAGTGGAGGCTTGGGCAAGGACCCTTTAGAGCAAGGCAGTGTGAGCCCCATCCCCACCCCCACTTCCTTGCCTGCCCCTGAGTCACCACCAGAGTCAGGAGGGTGCAGAAGGAGGCTCCAGGCATGGCTCCAGGGAGGGGCCAAGGGTCCAAGGAAACCAGCAGTTGAGCTACATGTCCCTGACTCACTTAGTCAGGGACTGCTGCGGTGATGAGCTGGGCACACTGTTAGGGGACCCTTTGCCCAGATGGAGGAGGAAGGGGCTGCGGGAGCCCAAGACTCTCAAGTGGGGTCCTTCATTTGCCTGGCACTCACCACCCACTCTCCTCACCACCTAACAGGCCCGGGCCTTGGGCAACCACAGTGCTCACCACAGGGGAAGTGGTTAGGGCGGGTACCCTATAACCCCCCCATCACCATGGCAACTCCTGCAGTCTGTGGGCCCCACCCAAGGCCACCTCTAGGTGGGTGGCAAAGGGTGGGGCAAGTTCTCTAGGAGCTCATCTTTGGAAACCCTGCTGGCCTCCTCTGTAATCAGAGCAAATACTTGCATGATGAGTCAGCCGGGGAACTGGGGGGCGGGGGACACATATCCATGAGCTGTCCCTGGCAGGTGGCCTCCCAGATGAGTCCCCAACTCAGCTCCCGGGACCACTGGGACTGGTCCTGGCCTCTCACAGCTCCTGCCTTTCACTGTGCCCCAGTGGGGCTGCCCATCAGGCTTCCCGCTGTGAAGGCCCTCAGGACCCTGGCCCTCCAGCCCCGTGGGTGGGGCCAGGCCCTCCCCTGGTCCGTATTAGGCCAACCAGTGCCAGGGCCCCAACTGCCTCCCAAAAGAGGGAGGGAAAGAGCAGAGCCCCAGGCAGGCAGGGAGTCGGCCTGGTTAGCTGGCCCCGCCCCATCCCACCCCCTTTCCCTAGCCCCGGGGCCAGCTGGCCCCCTCCTTCCCCTAATCACTGCTGCTTTCCAACATTTTTTTGCCTTATATGGCAAAGCTCTGGGAACTAGGCCTGTTCCAGCCAGCTCACAAGGAGGGGAGAACGCAGGAGGGAGGAGATCCCCCCAAAGACCTGGGGTGTGGCCCGCCTCCCCACATCCGGTTGCCCCCCCCCCCACCCAGGGCTCAGAAATGACTCAGCTTGGCTAGACAGAGGCCTGGGGAGGGGGGAGTGCTCTGCCTCGGCTGGCATTCCAATGTAAAGTGGGCTCTACCAGCCTGTGCTGCCAGGGAGTGGCCGAACCGGGTCTAGGTCCTTCATTGGCCTGGGCTCAGCATGGACCATTCCAGGCCCCATAGGATGGTCAAAAGGCTGCCCCCCACCTGGCTGCTGCTCCTGTCCCTCACCCACCTAAGACCTCCTCCAGCCCCCATCCTGGCGCCTGGCCCCAAGCAGCCCCTTCTCTGGGAAGAGCCAGGCTGCAGCGGGCAGGCCCAGTCAGCACCAGCATCTCCAGTCCAGTGATACCGACACTGGGCTGGCAGTGAGCCCAGCGCATGCTGGACAGTCTTCTAAGAAACCACAGCGTTCTGGATGCAAGAAACCCAGGCCTAAATGAAAGCGTGAAGGTGGCCAGCAGAGTGTGTGAGTAGACTTGGACACTCGGCCACTTCACCTTGCTTCGGCCAGCTGTGCCTCTCTTTAACCCCCAAATCCTCAGGGAAGAGCTAAGTGGGGGAATGGATGAAACCATCTGCAAGGTGGGGCATCAGCCTTCTGAGGACCGAGATAGTCAGGTCGTATACAATGGGACACACAAACTTTCCCGTTTTGGCACACATTCTATCCACTGCTACGTGGAAAAGCCCCGGCCACAACTCCTCGGGGCTTAGCGGTGCCAGCCTCCCCCAGGTACTCTCCCACCATGGGCGCCGGGCTGGGGGCGCGGCCTGCAGAGGATGTGAGCTCAGCCTGGGCGCGGGCCAGCCTTAAGGCAACGGGCAACGGGCGGGGGCGCATAGCGGTTCCGCACACCCGCCGGCCAGCCCTCGCGCCTTTGTTCTCGAGGCCCGCGCGGAGGCCCGGGGACGGGGAACTGGGAGGAGTCCGCGGAGAGGGGGGGTGAGGGAGACGCACGGAGCACCCGCCCCTGCCCGTGGGGCTCCCGGGGGCGACCCGCGCCCTCACCGATGGACACGAGCTTGATGCTCTCGCGGTCCAGGAACTCGAGCGCCACCGACACGTTTTCCAGCTGCATCTGGCGGAAGGTGGGCCGCTGGTTGTGCTTGCGGTGCATCTTTTTCTGGCTGAGCACCTCCAGCAGCGCGATGAGACGCAGCCCGTCACTCAGGTCCGTCTGCAGGTTGGCGATGCGCTTGCTCACGCATTTGAGGTGCTCGTTGCACCAGCGCGTGAATGTGTTCTGTTGGATCTTCTTCCACGGCGCGTCCTCTGCCAGGTCCTTCTCGGTGGCCGGCATCTCAGCGTCCCGCGTGTCGGCGCCGCCCGGAGCCGCGCCCGCCGCGCTCTGGCTGGACCGGGAGTGGGAGCTACTCATTTTGAGGCGCGAGGAATCAAGGGGCGGTGCTGCAGCCTTGGCTAGGGGACGGCCCTTTAATTAAAGTTGCAGGCACTTCGACGCGTGCAAGGAGAGGCTGACAGGAAAGGCTGCGCTGTGGAGAGAGCGAGCCCTTTAAAAGCGGGCGGAGGGTGGAGCCAAGGGGCAGGGACGCTGGGGGGCGGGGTAGTGGGGTGGAGCTTTGGGGTCCCACCCGCTCCGCTTCGCCCCGCCCGTTGGAATGTCCCGACTGCCCCCCCCCCCCCCAGCTCTCACTGCATCAACTAGACCCCTGGGTTCCCGGAAAGATCTATGGGCCCCGTAGGGAGCAAGGATGGGCCTGGTGTCTGCGGCCTCTGGCCAGTGCTGCACAAGATGCGCCCCAGAGAGGCTAAGCTTAGGAGTGCCTGCCCTAGGTCCGCTTAGCCTCCAAGCTGCACACCATCACAAGGGACTTTCCTTCCCTAAGGCCTTTATAGGGGGCAGGCGGATCTCGCCCCTTCCCTGCGCCCTCCGCCCTTGTCCGCCTTCGGGATCCAGGCCCAAGAGTTGCCCGGCAGCAGCAGCGAGAAGGAGCCCACTCCTTCAGAGCCAGTCTGGAAAGAGCACCGCTCTCGGGCCAGCCACGGCTGCAAAGGAACGATTTTGCGTGCACCACGCCAGAGAAGCGGCTGCACCTGGTGCACCCCGTACCCCGGCCGGCCTCCTCAGTTCGCACCTGCACCCATCAGTTCCCATCCCCTCCCTGCTTCCCTTCCTCCTGCCGCGCTCCACTCGGGAGGAAATGGGCCACTGGGCCAGGAGGCCACAGGCGCTCCAGGAGCCAGCAGCCTTCAAAGGTGTCCTGGCGTGCCAAGGGGCACAGGCAGAGCCTGGGTGTGGTGCTGGGACGGTGTGTGCCTGCCTAGCCCACCTTCCTGTACACCCAGGGCGGCGGGGGCGGGGTTGGGGGAGGGGAGGAAAGGAGAGAAGGCGCTGCTCGTGTCATTATGTCCCTGCACCCAGCATGAGCAGGAGGTGGCCAGGCACGGGGCAGAGAAGCGTGGTAACCATGAAAGGCTTCATTTCACATCTATAAGGCCCTGTCCAAAAGGTCCCGCACATTTTGGCAAGGTGTAAGCAGATGGGTGTAGGGAGGCTTCAGCTGTAGTGGCAGGTGCAGAGTGAATGGAGGACATGCAGGAGGTGAAACGCAATGGCCCCAAGGCTTGGTTAGGAGGCTGGTGTGTCTCCAAGCTGTGGGTAGGGACCTCCTGGCATGAGCTTCATAGCAGAGAGCCCTGCAGATGGTGCAGAAGTTGTCCTGGGTGGATATGGGATCCTATGGATGGGGGGACACACACCCACCTTCTTACCTGGCAGGGACTCCTCCCTCTCCAGAATGCCACCTTCTATCATTTTTCCAGAAAGGAAAGTCTGTCCCTACTGCTCAATTCTAGTGATAATTAATTTATCTGCTAAACAGTAGAAGGAGACCGTGGGTTGGCCAACATGTCATGCCCAAATATGGCTGACTCGCCTATGACCTTGGGTGTGTGCAGTGCCAGTGGGGGTTGTAGGGAGCAAATGGCACTTGTTTTGTAAGAACGGAAGCCCATCCCTTCTGCTGGCAACTTTCTTACACATCCGCAAAGAATGCACCAAGGTGCTGAAACCTGGGCTGCAGTGGGAAGAACTTGCAGATCCCAGTCTGCCAGACCCCTTTCAAGACTTTAGCAATCAATTCTGTCTCCATTAAGTGCCATTCATTCTTAATCAGGATTGCTTCTCGGCCTTTTGGCTAAGATCAAATGCATTCTTCATCGGGGCGATTGAGGCAGAGTCACTAATCCTTAGTCAGCAGAAAGGAACACAGAAGTGGGCTATCCCAGCTTCTAGCCTTGGGTCTTTCCGTATTTCAGTGAAATAAGGGAATTCTTGTCCCTAGGAGTCCACACAGTATCACCAGCAGATGTCGCCCCATCTCCAAACCCCCCAGATCAGGCTGTCTCAGGAAGCCAAAATCCAGTTCTTTCATATTTTCCCTTATTTGGAGTCGATTCTTGGATGTTAGTCACACCCCGCCCACCACCCCACCCCCAGCCCTCAGACCCCAGGCCAGGCCCTCCCTCAAGGAGCGAGAGCCCTAACCCAGGAGCCTTTTTCTAAGCCTACAGAGCCAGGGGGCGCCACGAGTGAAAGCTGCAGACTGGCATACAGAGACCTGGGCTAGCAAGACGTTGCCAGGGGTGACAGGTGGCAGCACGCAGTTGCTGAGCTCCCGCCCTGAACAGGTACCAACCGGCCTACCAGCCGCCTTCACCAACTCTTCCTGGCCCACTGTGCTGCCAGAGTCTGGGGCCTTCTACTCACCTCCCACTCTGAACTTGAGACTGTCATTGGCCACACCCAATGCCTCTACACCCCAAGCAATAAGAGCAGCTAAGGGAACCAGCTCCCTTGTGACCAAAGCAGCCAGTACCCAGTGGACCTGCAACTGGCAAGGTACCTACAACCCGCATGCACACACACACACACACACACACACACACACACACACCAGCACCACCGTACTTTCCAAGCATCCTTCCTGCATGACCCTCAGCACACACGTCCTGCTAGTCTCCGGCCCTTCCCTGCAATCTCTCGCTCTCACTCTCTGGTCCCGGGCTAGTGCTCCCAGATACCCGAGCACAAACAGAGGGTCACGGGTAATCTAGGGACTGTAACCACTGGATACCCACTCCCATACGCCAGGGGCACCGCTATCGTGCTCCCCGCGCTGCAGCTCCACTTGGCCTCGAAGTGACCGCCTGCGTTCTCGAGCCTTTTCGACAGACTGCCTTCTCCATCCGCGCCCCCCGCCCCGCCTCCCGCGTGCCAGCTCGCGAGCCCCGCGGCGGGCGCCCCTCGAAGTCCTCACCTGCTCCCTCTGCGAGCGGGCTGGCGGCTACCGCCGGGTGGCGCCCAGCTCACCTCCACGCCCGCGCCCGGTGCCTCAGGGCTCACGCTGGCGTCCGCTGCGCGCCGCGCGCCTCCACGCGAATGGGCCGCCGCTGCCCGCCTTCTTGTTGGCCTCACCCCCGCCCCGCGCCCGCCCCGCGCCCGGCCCGGCCCGGCCCGGCAAGAAAGCCTTAATTGGTAAAATCGCCCAGGAGCCAGGGGATGGGGGTGGGGTGCGGGGGCGCGCCATGAGCTCGATCTCCCCGGCAGCCTGGCGACGCCGCTCCCCCCCCCCCCCCCGGGATGAGCTCACCGCCCAGTGAGGGCCGCCAGCCCCGGGCGGGGTGGGGGCGGGAACAGAGGGTCTGCTGGGCCCACATCTAGGCTCAAGCCACCACCACTGGGCATGGTTGAGTTTAGGGGAGCCACAGGCTCTGCAGCTAGCAAGGCCCAGCTCTAAGACCGCCTTCTCCAGACAGCCATCCAGCCACAGCCCCATCTCTGGCCCAAGCTTAAACTGGTCAGGGAAGTCGAATTCTACCCTCTGACTAGGGCAAGAAGTGAAGCCGAATTCTGCCCCTCTGACTAGGGCAAGAGGTGAAGCCTCAGGTACCAGGAGCCCTCCAAGGCCTGGGCTGCCTGTACCTGAGGCATCCTGGGTAACACTGTCGCAGGCCCTGGCAGGGACAGGCCGTGGACACATCCTGAACTCCAGAAGCACGAACAGGTGTAGCCTCGGCCCTCCTCTTCTACGTGTCTGTCTCCTGGTAGCTTCCTATTTAGCTCAAATGGCACTTCCTAGGGGTAGGCCCACAGAAAATGGTATTACTTCAAGACTTTTACTGCTACCCCCAAAGAGGGCCTGTTAGCACACACTCAGACACACACATGCGGAAAAGTACTCAGATACTATGTGCTCGACTTCACCAACAAAGGGGGGGTGTCTGTGTGTGTGTGTGTGTGTGTGAGAGAGAGAGAGAGAGAGAGAGATCTAGTGGCTGGCACTCTGACGGGGGCACCTCTGTCCCACATTGGAGTGCTTAGGTTTAACGCCCACCTTCAGCTTTGACTCCACTCTCGTGCTGGAGCACCCTTGGAGGTGGGGGTGCTGGCCGCTCAGTGATTTGGTCCTGCCACTCATGGGAAACTGAATTGATATGGAATTCACAACCCAAGCTGGCTTTCCAGGAGGGAAATCTACTGGCCCATAGGCCTCACAATCTGAGCCAGGGGCCCCAGGGTGAGGGGAGCATGAAAGGTGCAATGGAGGCTTGGCTGGGTCTCAGGATTCTCACTGCCTTTGAGGCCTGTGTGCAGCAGCAAACAAGGAGGTTCTGCCGCACTTCTCCCAGGCGCTGCTTTCACACAGCATCACTCCACCGCCTGGAAAGGAGCAAAGTGGATTGCAGCTATTTTCTCCTAGCTGAGGAAGTGTCCCCTTGCTGGCATTGCCTTTTCCATATAGAGTTCTCTCAGCTATTTCCAACTCCCTCTACCCTGGCTACTGATGTCTCTCTGGAGACCCTCAGATGTCCCTACATGTGTACACCCAACCTGGGGACTTGGAGACTATCCAGGTCATGCGCTCAAGAAGCAAGCATACACACACAGGAGCAGGTACACACACAGGAGCAGGGAAATACACACAGGAGCAGGTACACACACAGAAGCAGGGACACACACAGGAGCAGGTACACACAGGAGCAGGGACACACACAGGAGCAGGGACACACACAGGAGCAGGGACACACACACAGGAGCAGGGACACACACAGGAGCAGGGACACACACACAGGAGCAGGTATACACACACAGGAGTAGGTACACACAGGAGCAGGTACACACACACAGGAGCAGGTACACACAGGAGCAGGGACACACACAGGAGCAGGGACACACACAGGAGCAGGGACACACACAGGAGCAGGGACACACACACAGGAGCAGGGACACACACAGGAGCAGGTACACACACACACAGGAGCAGGTACACACACACAGGAGCAGGTACACACACAGGAGCAGGTACACACAGGAGCAGGGACACACACAGGAGCAGGGACACACACAGGAGCAGGGACACACACACACAGGAGCAGGGACACACACAGGAGTAGGTACACACACAGGAACAGGGACACACACATACAGGAGCAGGTACACACAGGTGCAGGTACACACACACACAGGAGCAGGGACACACACAGGAGCAGGGACACACACACAGGAGCAGGTACACACACAGGAGCAGGGAAATACACACAGGAGCAGGTACACACACAGAAGCAGGGACACACACAGGAGCAGGTACACACAGGAGCAGGGACACACACAGGAGCAGGGACACACACAGGAGCAGGGACACACACACAGGAGCAGGGACACACACAGGAGCAGGGACACACACACAGGAGCAGGTATACACACACAGGAGTAGGTACACACAGGAGCAGGTACACACACACAGGAGCAGGGACACACACAGGAGCAGGGACACACACAGGAGCAGGTACACACACACAGGAGCAGGGACACACACAGGAGCAGGGACACACACACAGGAGCAGGTACACACACACAGGAGCAGGGACACACACAGGAGCAGGTACACACACACAGGAGCAGGGACACACACACAGGAGCAGGGACACACACAGGAGCAGGGACACACACAGGAGCAGGGACACACACAGGAGCAGGGACACACACACAGGAGCAGGGACACACACAGGAGCAGGTACACACACACACAGGAGCAGGTACACACACACAGGAGCAGGTACACACACAGGAGCAGGTACACACAGGAGCAGGGACACACACAGGAGCAGGGACACACACAGGAGCAGGGACACACACACACAGGAGCAGGGACACACACAGGAGTAGGTACACACACAGGAACAGGGACACACACATACAGGAGCAGGTACACACAGGTGCAGGTACACACACACACAGGAGCAGGGACACACACAGGAGCAGGGACACACACACAGGAGCAGGGACACACACAGGAGCAGGTACACACACAGGAGCAGGGACACACACACAGGAGCAGGGACACACACAGGAACAGGGACACACACACAGGAGCAGGGACACACACAGGAGCAGGGACACACACAGGAGCAGGGACACACACACAGGAGCAGGGACACACACAGGAGCAGGGACACACACACAGGAGCAGGGACACACACAGGAGCAGGGACACACACACAGGAGCAGGGACACACACAGGAGCAGGTACACACACAGGAGCAGGGACACACACACACAGGAGCAGGTACACACACACAGGAGCAGGTACACACACAGGAGCAGGGACACACACACACAGGAGCAGGGACACACACAGAAGCAGGGACACACACACAGGAGCAGGTACACACACAGGAGTAGGTACACACACACAGGAGCAGGGACACACACAGGAGCAGGTACACACACACAGGATCAAGTACACACAGGAGCAGGTACACACACAGGAGCAGGTACACACACAGGAGCAGGGACACACACACAGGAGTAGGTACACACACAGGAGCAGGGACACACACACAGGAGCAAGTACACACAGGATCAGGGACACACACACACAGGAGCAGGGACACACACATAATTTTCCATAACTAAGTTGCTGTGCGCCGCAGAGGCACACGCGTGCCGCGATGGGCTGCACTTCGCGTTTAGGTAACTGTGTGGGTTGTCGGGGGAGGGGAGCAGTGGACCTTCACAGCTCAGCTTCCTGCCGCACTTCAGAGTGGGATAACACGGAAGCCCGGGAGTGCTGAAGCAGGATCCCAGAGAGGGGGTGTACTTCAGGAGAAAGCAAACCTAGAATTCCTTGACCTCAAAAGGAAAGAGCTGGGATCCCAATGGGGAGGGGTGGTGACAGGCTTGGGCGGGCGGGGAGGGGGCGGACTGAGCGCTCTGTACACAGGCCTCTGGGAGAGGGGCCAGCCCTGTACAAGAAGGCTTGGAAAGGTGCTGGAGCATCTGACTTGGTGAAAAAAAAAAAAAGGCCAGTAGGCAGCTGGGTAGAAATAGGCCCAAGTGTCCTGCCTGCTCGCCGCAGAAAACAAGGAGCAAGTCTTCCCGTCTCGCATGGCATCTTCTGGGTCACGGACAACCGCTCCCTATTGCTAGGGACACAGCAGGCTGCGTTCATCTGGAATCCACCACGCTGCTGCACGAAAACTTACTCCTTACAAGCTTTGTCAATATGAGGCATCCCGTGACTCTGCCATTCCCCTCCACTCTGCAAGCTTCCTGAGAGAACTGGCCTCTGAGCATCACCACCTGGGCCCATCAGCCAGGACCTGATTGGAGCTCTTCTGTTGGCTCCCGGCACCAGCTAAGTTGGACTGCCCAACACTCCTAGTTAGCCCCACACTCCAACAGCTGTCTCTGTTCACAGTACGACTGTCACTCCCTTAACACTGCACCAGGCAGCCCTCTTCCGCTTGAGACCACTTAAGACACTTGCCAGGATCCCGAATAAGACCTGGCAGCCTTTCATGGTTACCACGCTTCTCTGCCCCGTGCCTGGCCACCTCCTGCTCATGCTGGGTGCAGGGACATAATGACACGAGCAGCGCCTTCTCTCCTTTCCTCCCCTCCCCCAACCCCGCCCCCGCCGCCCTGGGTGTACAGGAAGGTGGGCTAGGCAGGCACACACCGTCCCAGCACCACACCCAGGCTCTGCCTGTGCCCCTTGGCACGCCAGGACACCTTTGAAGGCTGCTGGCTCCTGGAGCGCCTGTGGCCTCCTGGCCCAGTGGCCCATTTCCTCCCGAGTGGAGCGCGGCAGGAGGAAGGGAAGCAGGGAGGGGATGGGAACTGATGGGTGCAGGTGCGAACTGAGGAGGCCGGCCGGGGTACGGGGTGCACCAGGTGCAGCCGCTTCTCTGGCGTGGTGCACGCAAAATCGTTCCTTTGCAGCCGTGGCTGGCCCGAGAGCGGTGCTCTTTCCAGACTGGCTCTGAAGGAGTGGGCTCCTTCTCGCTGCTGCTGCCGGGCAACTCTTGGGCCTGGATCCCGAAGGCGGACAAGGGCGGAGGGCGCAGGGAAGGGGCGAGATCCCACGGACTCAGAAACCCGCCCCGCCCGCTCTACCGCTCGCATATGAGGCGGGTTCCTGCCGGTTTGGCTCACTCAGGCTTTCCCCCCCGGCGAGGAGTCAAGTTCAGCAGCGCCAGCGCGTGACGTCTGGGTGCTCCCACCCCGCCCATTTTCCCCGAGCGCGCAGCCCCGCCCACTCTCCCCATGAAACTAGTTCGAGCCGCTTTGGCTCCCACACTGGCCCCGCCCTTGTTTCGCCACAGACCAACCTTGCACGATTGGGAAACAGCAGCTCGGCAGCCCCGCCCTGCCCGCGCCCAGGGCCAGACCGGTCTGCGCCGGCTTCGCTCCTGGCTTGGCTCCGCCCCGCGCAGCGCGCGCGCCGCCCGGGAGCCCGCCGCCGTGACGCGGCGTGACGCGCACGTGACGCGAGCGCGGCCGCTCCCGAGCTTCAGCCGCCGTGCGGTCGCTTGGCCTGTGTCGCCAGGCCCGGGCCGCCCCCAGCCCTTCGCCACCTGCCGGCCGGGCCCGCAATGGACGACTACGCGGTTCTGTCGGACACCGAGCTGGCCGCCGTGCTGCGCCAGTACAACATCCCGCACGGGCCAGTCGTGGGTAAGCCGCAGCGGGCGGGTCGCTTCCTGGGACTCGCTGGCCCGTGCCCCCGGCCTGCGGTTCCCACCCAGCTGCCCTCCCTGCGCTCTGCTTTGGGTCGCGGCCCGCGCTCCTGACGGGCCCGCGCTCGCTGTCTGCTCAGGCTCTACTCGCAAGCTTTACGAAAAGAAAATTTTCGAGTACGAAACGCAGAGGCGGAGGCTCTCCCCACCCAACTCGTCTGCTTCCTCGTTCTCCTATCGGTTCTCGGGTGAGCTGCCCCCAGGACCCTGCTGGCTACCTGCGGTGCCAGGGAGGATGGCATTTTGAGGGCGTGGTGGCGGGGGCCGAGCGGAGGTGTGCTAGTTGAGAGGCGCGCTGGAAAGAAAGGAGGGAAGCCTGGGGAAATGGTCTCTCCCCAACCCCTCATTTCAGATTTAGATTCGGCCTCCGTGGACTCGGATAAGTATGATCTACCCAAAAAGGAGGACGCCTTACTGTACCAGAGCAAGGGTAAGGACGCAGTCGGGTGGGCACTCCAACACCTCCACCCAGATCCGAGCCCTCAGCTCCTCTCCACCAGCAAGCAGCAGAAAGGGTGCGGGGGACGGTGCTTAGTTTGGGGCCCCCAGAGCTGGCAGGGAGCTTGGACCTGCCCTCTGCGACCAGTGCCCCCTCTCTGAAGGTTACAATGATGACTACTACGAGGAGAGTTACTTGAGCAGCAGCACTTACCGGGACCCCGAGGCTGCGGGCACCTCCAAAGGCTTCCGGCCAGCCAGCTCACAGCTTTCAGATGCTGCCTCCTCCCATCACCAGGTGAGCTGCTGGAGGCAGGCTTCTCACATCCAGCTTAAACAGCTCGGAGCTGGCTGCAGAAGCGCTCCAGGCTTTGGGGTACACATGGTAGCTCCTTAACTCTCCAGACAAAGTTAGACTCAGCAGATGCCTTTGTGGTCATGGCCTCCTCTGGAGGCTGCCAAGCCTATTGGACTAGAGCACACAGCATGTGCCTTACACATGCGCGTTGAGATCACAAGGTAAAACTCTGACAATCCCGACACAAAAAGGAACAGGCTGCGGTCACTGTTGTGGCACAGTGCATTAAGCCACCACCTGCCAAGCCAGCATCCCATCTGGGCACTAACTTGAGTCCCTGCTAATGCACCTGGGAAAGCAACAGAGGACGGCCCAGATACTGGGCCCCTGCACCTGCACAGGAGTCCTAGATGGAGTTCCTGAGCCCTGGTGGTTATGACCATTAGACAGGGAAGCAGAGATGGAAGATCTTGGTCTCTCCCTCCATCTTTCTGTAACTCTTATCAAATAAATAAGTAAAATCTTAAAAACTAAAAAGGCTGGGAATCCAATACTACTGTAACTGCTCTAGAGCTGGAGGCTTTTTTTTTTTTTTAAAGATTTTTTGTTTTTGTTTCTGTTTTGCTTTTAAGATTTTTTAGGGTTTATGGGAAAGGCATACTTACAGAGAGAAGGAGAGACGAAGCGAAACATCTTCCATCCACTGGCTCACTCTCCGAGCGGCCACAATGGCCAGAGTTGAGCTGATCTGAAGCCAGGAGGCAGGAGCTTCTTCCAGGTCCCCCACATGGATGCAGGGTCCCAAGGCTTTGGGCCGTCCTCCACTGCTTTCCCAGGCCACAGGCAGGGAGCTGGATGGGAAGTGGAGCAGCTGGGATACAGACTGGTGCTTGCAATAGGAAGATTTACCCTTTGAGCCATTGTGCCATGCCCAGGACTTTAATTTTGCTTAAGCTGTTTATTTTCATCTACTTGAAAGGCAGAACAGTAGAGTGAAATCTTGCAGCCCTGGTTCACTCCATAAATGCCCGGACTAGTCAGGCAGGGTCAAGTCAAAGTGGGAGTCCAGAATTGTGTCTGGGCTCCCTCGGGACTAGTGGAGGCCATTATTTGTGTGTTTCCAAAGTGTGCAAATTGGAAGCAGCCGTGCTATATAGCATGCAGGCATCCTGAGCAGTGGCCAAGCCTGCCATGGCACAATGGCCAACCCGTCTCTGACCTTTAATTACTGGTTACAGTGAGCTGGCCAGGGACTTTTAGACTAACGGATACATGCCTAGCTGCGCTGGTCCTTCCAGCTGCTCCCTTCACCATGCCTCTGTCCTGCAGGTGCGCACTGATAGTCTTTTCTCTTCCGAAGAGGAGGGCAGGGAGAGGTGAGTACTGCCGAGGCCCTGGGACCAGTGACTGTGGGCCCAGGCTCTCCTAGCCCATTGCTTCCCTTCCTTTGCGTCAGGGAACGCCCCACGTACGGCCGTGCCAGTGCCCACCAGAGCAGCGCACGCTACCGCCCTGTTCCCAGCGCCACCAGGAGCTCCGTGGGCCTGCCCTATTATCCTGCATCCTCCTCTCCCGCGGCCTCTTCATCTCCTCCATCCTGGCTCACCCGCCGTGCCATCCGGCCTGAAAAGCAAGCCCCCGTGGCTGCTCTGGGTCAGGACCGGCAGGTCCCCCTCTGGGGCCAGCTGCTGCTTTTCCTGGTCTTTGCTGCCTTCCTGCTCTTTGTCTACTATTCCATGCAGGCAGAGGAAGGCAACCCCTTCTGGATGGATCCCTGAGGGTTTTGCTTTGAGACCCAGCTTTTCTCTGTCTGCCTTAGTGCAGTGTGTGTGCTGGGGGGGTTGGGAGGGAACTTTTCTGTGTGCTCTGCTTTGGGGACTGGGCCTAGCCCAGGGCAGCACTTGCTCCTCCTGCCTCATGCTACCAGGGAGGTAGCTGACTCGGACCCTTCCTGCTAGGGTCGGCCTGGGGTGTCTGCCTTGGGAGCCTCCTGGCCCTGCTTGCCTCTGACCCCTAGAGCCTGGGAGGGAAGACTTCACTCCTTGACTTGTCATGTTTTCATGCATGCCTCCTGTTCATTACCCCCTGGTTGGGGGCTAGCTAAGGGCCACCCTTTGTTTTCGTGGATGCAATAAAAAAGATCATTTATTTTTAATGTGTTGGCTCTTCTGCTGGGGAGGGTCTGGTTCTCACAACTTGGGGTCTCTGGATGTTAGGTTTTAAGAACTGTCACCGGCTTTGTTGGTTCTGCAGATTGGTTTCGGTCTCAAGATATCACATACTACCAGGGATTTCTGTGTTGTCTGGGGAGGGGTCTTATCCCCGACTTGCTACTAAGCATACTGCCAACTGTAAAAAGAACTACAGTACAATAAGAGGTGTGGGAATGCAGGTGAGAGCACAGACACAGTTCAAGTGCTCCCAGCAAGAAAGGCTGAAACGGATTTCGGCTTCCATGGGTGTGAAGATGTAAAATGAGGCATGTTGTCTGCGCCTGGGAGGTCGTTCCTCGGCTCATACCCCACTGTTCGTGCCCTGCTTAAATATCTGCTAGTCCTTATAATTTACTGGGGGCTATTCCTAAGTGGAGGCAACAGAGATCCAGGATAGAATGACTTATGACCCCGAGCCACCTGGCTTTCTCCTGCCAGAGTGGGTGGAGAAGCACAAAGGGCTAGCATCCCACTCCAGGAGGGCAGATGCAAGGTAGAAGCCCAGTAAAGCAGTAGGGCTCTGGCACTAGTCCCTCTTGGTGTGGTCCCACGCTGGTCTCATTTGGAACAGTGCCTGTGCAGTGTCCACACATGCACCATGGACTCCTGAGCCCTAGACAATCCTACCTGGCTAGAGGCACACCCCGAGTTTGTGACGGGCCAGGCCCTGCTCCACCTGCTGCTAACCAGTTACTGTATATCCTACCTCTCCCCCACATTGTTGGTGATCCTAAAAATTAACATGGTTGTTCTCCACTTAAGATAGGCAAAAAGAATTAATCATTTCTGTTTTTCTTACTACTCCCAGAACCTAGCCTCTGGTTTGACTTGCAAGCCCCTAGCTTCTGGCTTGTCCTTCAGAGCCCAGCCCCTTGCTTTGTGGACTCAGCAGAGCCGAGGCCTGTCTGGTACACAGTGGGTGGTGGGCGTGGGTAGGTGGAGAAACAGACACCTAATGATTGCATCAGTGCGCCTGCATGTGCGCTGGCAGAATGAGCAGGATTGAGAAGGACAGAGTGGCACAATGTGTTTGAGCAGCTATTGAGAAATCATGTGAGAGGGCTGGTTCTCCCAGAATGCTTAGCCACATGGGCGTGCCGCTAGCCTAGAACACTGCAGCCGGGCAGAGGAAGATGGAGCCTAGCAGGAAAGCACGTGGGCTTGGGGTGGCGGGGTGCTTTCCCACATCTCCCAGGGGCAGAAAGGAGAAGGCAAAGGACCGCATGAGACGAACGAGAGCTGGGCTTTGGGCATCTGAAGAAAAGCAAACATCACTGCCTAATTCAGAATGGGTACTGGATCCCTTGAAGGCGTGGAGGACAAGAGGGGCTGCTAAGTGTGCTTGGCAGTCACAGCAGTGTATGGCGTGAGGGGAGGAAGTAGAGAGCTGGCCTCCTGTCTTCATCCATGAACGCTGCAAGGGCTCCTGGTGCAGCCGTACCCGAGCACAGAACAAGCACCCTTGACTGACCAAAGGAGTAGCTTGCCTCCACCTCCACGGAGCAGCCCGTACCATCCTCACCCTCTCGGGGCCTGCCACAGGGCCACTGGGGCCGCTGTCCAGGACTCTGGGAGCTTGATGGCACTTCTGCTGTCCAGCCTGCCCGAGAACTCTACAGTTCTCAACCCTGCATAAGACCCAATTCCGAGGGCTCTAGTTCCTCACCAGACCACCTGAATGCTCCAAAAGGCAGCTAAGCCGAAAGACTTGTCACTGGATATTCTCCATGACACAAGGGCTACAGTGACCCTGACAAAAGCTCCCAAGGATTTGTAATCTTCTAGTGTAGCTGCTTAAGCACAGACTCTTAGCTCCAGGTCCCTGTCCACAGAGATCAAGACTGTGCCCAGTCCACGCCCGCTGGGCTCCCGAGGCTTAGAGGCTAGAGCAGCATCAGCAATGAGCTCACTTACTATCCAGTTCCCAGTACTTTCCACCTGCAATTGAAACGCTGCAGCCTCTAGTGGCTCAGTGAGTCATAGGCCCGCCACGTTCACTGTCAACACCAAAGACGCGGGAGAAGGTGAGCAGCAGCCGTGGTCTCCGTGGTCTCCATGCCCTGGGGGTCTGGGATGTCCTTCCCGGCTGAGGGCTGAATGTGCCAGGGGTTCCGGGTAGGGCACCCTGTCCCTCAGCCCTTCCCCTGCCTCCCTCCCACCCGGCCCCGTGGGGCACCTCCTCAGGGCAGGCCTAGAGATATGCCCTCAACCCAAGGCACGAGGCCTAGCCTCTCTGGCGACTCTCCCCAGGGGGCCTGTCACTGGCCATCGAGGGTCCTTCCAAAGCGGAAATCAGCTGTACTGACAACCAGGACGGGACGTGCAGTGTCTCCTACCTGCCGGTACTGCCTGGCGACTATAGCATCCTGGTCAAGTACAACGACCAACACATCCCAGGCAGCCCCTTCACTGCCAGGGTCACAGGTGCGTGGCCCCGGGGGCAGTGGGCCGTGGGCAGCAGCAGGCAGCCTGCTGGGTGTCTGGTCCTCCTGCGGCCAGGCTAGACGCATAGTGACAGATGACCCTACCCCTGCCCCTGCCAGGTGACGACTCCATGCGGATGTCCCACCTGAAGGTGGGCTCTGCAGCTGACATTCCCATCAACATCTCGGAGACGGACCTCAGCCTGCTGACGGCCACCGTGGTGCCCCCATCCGGCCGGGAGGAGCCATGTCTGCTGAAGCGGCTGCGCAACGGTCACGTGGGTATGAGGCCTAGGGGGCCTGGAAGGGAAGGCAGCTGCGGGAGGGAGACCCGCGCCCTCTCCCGCTGACAGTCCTGCCCCGCGTGCCCAGGGATCTCGTTCGTGCCTAAGGAGACGGGGGAGCACTTGGTGCATGTGAAGAAGAATGGTCAGCACGTGGCCAGCAGCCCCATCCCAGTGGTGATCAGCCAGTCGGAGATTGGGGATGCCAGCCGTGTGCGCGTGTCTGGCCAGGGCCTTCACGAGGGCCATACCTTTGAACCTGCGGAGTTTATCATTGACACTCGAGATGCAGGTAGGTAGCGGTGGCCTGCCTGCCTGCCTGCCTGCCTGCCTGCCTACCTGCCGCAGTGGGCAGCATGGTACTTGGCAGTCTGACTCAGGGCTGGCCATTTCCCAGGCTACGGTGGACTCAGCCTCTCCATCGAGGGACCCAGCAAGGTGGATATCAACACAGAGGACCTGGAAGACGGCACGTGTAGAGTCACCTACTGCCCCACAGAGCCCGGCAACTACATAATCAACATCAAGTTTGCTGACCAGCACGTGCCCGGTTAGTGTGGTGACCACGCACCTCCTGCCCCAGCCTCGCTACCACACCGTGTGTAACCTGTGCTGGGCATGGGCTTCACTTTCTTCCTGCAGGTAGCCCCTTCTCAGTCAAAGTGACAGGCGAGGGCCGGGTGAAAGAGAGCATCACACGCAGACGACGGGCTCCTTCGGTAGCCAACGTTGGCAGTCACTGCGACCTCAGCCTCAAGATCCCTGGTAGGGGCTGTGAGGAGCCAGAGAGTGGTTTTGAGAGGCGGTGGGGTGCAGGCCTCCTGCCTACCAGGCTATCACCGTCCGTCCCCCCCCACAGAAATCAGCATCCAGGACATGACAGCCCAGGTGACCAGCCCCTCGGGCAAGAGCCACGAGGCTGAGATTGTGGAAGGCGAGAACCACACATACTGTATCCGCTTTGTGCCTGCCGAGATGGGCACACACACAGTCAGTGTCAAGTACAAGGGCCAGCACGTGCCTGGGAGCCCCTTCCAGTTCACTGTGGGGCCCCTCGGGGAAGGAGGAGCCCACAAGGTCCGTGCTGGAGGCCCTGGCCTGGAGAGGGCTGAAGCTGGAGTGCCAGGTAGGCCAGCTTGCCTATGGGCGCTCTTGCTCTCCTGGGTGCTTGCGGGGAGGCTGCTCTGGGCGAGGAGCCAGCCATGCCATTTGGGACCTTGCTGGGAGGGCCGTAGTCCAGGACCAACCTCCTAGGAGAAACCACTGTTCTCCACAGCTGAATTCAGCATCTGGACCAGGGAGGCTGGTGCTGGGGGCCTGGCCATTGCTGTGGAGGGCCCAAGCAAGGCTGAGATCTCCTTCGAGGACCGCAAGGATGGCTCGTGCGGTGTGGCCTATGTGGTCCAGGAGCCAGGTACAGGGGGCCAAGCTGGGGCTGGAGCAGGAGTGGGAGTTGACTCCGTACACCCACCTCCACCCCTTGGCCTGCAGACACCACCCCCATCCCCTGCCTCGAGGTCCCAGAACCTGGGCTAAGCCTTGGGATGGCATAAGATGACTCACTGCTGCCGTGGCCCGGTGTAGCCTCGTGCTCTCTTCCCGCCCAGGTGACTACGAGGTGTCGGTGAAGTTCAACGAGGAGCACATACCTGACAGTCCTTTCGTGGTGCCTGTGGCTTCTCCGTCCGGCGATGCCCGCCGCCTTACTGTTTCTAGTCTTCAGGTGAGGCACTGAGAGAAACTGTCCACCTAGGGCTCCTGGGCCCGGCCAGACCAGAGGCACCACGAAGCGCAGGCCGTGGCCCTGTGTCGAGTAACTCACCCGGCCCAGCTCTGGGCACCGGGCCCCTGCTCTGGCCGGGCACAGCCCGTGCTTGGGGTTGGCAGGAAGCACCCTGCCCGCCGCGTGGAGTTTTTCTCGTGTCTCAGGTCTAAAGGCTTTGAACAGGAGCCTGTGCCCCTTGAGCACCAGGGCTGAGGTTTAAAGAGGGACAGCCTGCCAGGGCTGCAGGGCCACCCTCCCTTCCTGCTGCCTGGGACTGTGTGACTGTAGAGTTGTGGGGTGGGGGACGGGGAGAAGGGAGAGGGCGTATGCCTGTCACTTGCTGTCCCTAGCAAATCAGTGGCTCTCCCTCTTTAAACCAAGTTGGACGCCAGCTGGGTAAGTATGCGCTCGTGGGGCCTCCTGACTCGGGCCCTGCCCTCCTTCCTCCCTTGCTCCTGCCACCCCACCTA